TTCAACCGGGATGAGGAAATTCACAATTTTAAATGTATTTCGACTCATGGTCATGGACCTAAGCTTCTTGGTCAGTTCAAGGAGGGGCGAGTCGAGGAGTTCATCCATGCCAGGGTATGCGAAAATTAAACTCTTTTTCTTTTGATTGTAAATTTTCAGGTTTTTTCACTAGTTTGTGCTGATCTAATGGTTATAAAGTTAAAAAAGTAGAAGATATTTTTGCTAGGAGATGATTTCTATTAGACTTGTCTTTTTCAGATTGATAGTAATGTTAACATTTATCATGATTTTGGAGAAACATGCAGAAAATTTATCATTTCTTTTCTTTTGCCACCTGCTTTTGGCTTTACAGACACTATCAGCTGCTGACCTTCGCGACCCTGAAACTTCTGCTCTGATAGCTGCTAAAATGAAGGAATTTCATTATCTTGATATTCCGGGATCAAAGAGCGTAGTCTTGTGGGACAGAATGAGGTGCCAACCTGCTCTACCGAGAAAGTATCGAGTTTGAGTTTGAAGATTGAATGTTATCGACTGACTGTTTGTCTTCTACAGAAATTGGCTTAGCGAGGCCAAGAGTTTGTGCTCCCCGGAACATGTGAAGGAATTTCGCTTGGATAACTTAGAAGTGGAGATCAACTTATTGGAAAAGGCACTATCAGGACACGACCAGAAACTTGGTTTTTGCCACAATGATCTGCAGTACGGTAACATAATGATTGATGACAAAGCAAAATCCATCACTCTAATCGTAAGTTCTGCTTCGATCCTTTATAAGTATTTGGTAGAAATGATGAAATAATTATATTTATTCAGATGAGGAAAGCCATGTTTTAAACTTCTTATGTTCATTTTTGTTTTCCCTTTTTCTTACAGGATTATGAGTATGCTAGTTACAATCCTATTGCCTACGATCTTGCAAATCACTTCTGCGAGATGGCAGCAAATTATCACACTGAGACGCCTCATATCTTGGATTATAGCAAATATCCTGGTCAGTAATTGCCACTACCTCTATTGGAATTTGTTTTCAAGGTTGTGGGTTGATGTTCTTTATTGTCTTGTTCCGTATGTCAAAATGGAGCAGGATTAAGCGGTATAACTCAATGATGATCGTTTAACTTTTCTGTTTGGCTTTGGCAACAGATCTAGAGGAGCGCCAAAGATTCATATGTGAATACCTCGGATCTTCAGGTTTGTTCTCTACTTTCTTAGTTGTTTGGAATTGTACCTGATATTTGGAACTCAAGTTTATTTTTGAATATGCCTGACGCTCGAAGACAAATACTATTAACACTTAATCTACGAGGCATAAATGTCCTACGATTGGACTCCTACACTCCAATACACTTGGTCGTGGCAGGTTCCTTATCTTGTATCTATTTTTTAAATTTTCGACTAAATATGATCGAAGTTCCACACTTCCCTGTCTGCTTATAGTGACATTTAAATGGCAGAAAGGCCAATTGTCCAACCTGGTCACTGTCTCTTTTATTGCCTTAGATTTCTTGTTTGGTACGTAGGGACAAAAATTGCTGCTTCAGGGACCAGATATGAAGACTAATTCACGTTAATTCGAAGTTACTTTATCCTTATCAAATTCTTGGCAATTCAACTAACGTTCTTGTTTGGCTGAAATGACCCCTTAAAGTTGAATGAGAAAAATGTTCAATGATCTTAGTTGATATTTTCTTGAATTAAAACTCTAATCCCTTTTTATGAGGGTTATGTAAATAGAGAAACAGGTAAAGCAAATATAGATTTATAGTAGTTCATCTTCAATATGAGAACTACATCTAATTGTCAATGCAGATTTTCACTATATTGGAGAATAAAGAAAAAGATTTTTCAGACGCACCCTAAAAATTCTTGATATATTTATAATATTAGAGCTGCAATATGATCAAGCTCGAGGGAACAAGTGTACAATGTAATTAGGTTCCACACAATCCAACATATGAGTTAACTTTTCTATTAATGTATGCAGGTCATCAACCCAGTGACACTGAAGTAAAGCAGCTCACAGACGATACAGAAAAGTTTACTCTGGCAAACCATATCTTCTGGGGATTGTGGGGGTTAATCTCGGTACGTTTTTCATTTATTTCCTTCTGTTCTTTTTACGTGTAAATAAGTATGGAGTTAATACGCGTGCCTAATTTCGGCCCTTGCAGGCATATGTGAATCATATCGACTTCGATTATATGGAATATGCAAGGCAAAGGTTTCAACAGTACTGGTTGAGAAAGCTTGAGATCTTGAATGAGTGAGGAGACTCCCACTCCCTTGATGATAATGTTTGTGTAGAAAAATATAATCTGAAATACCCAAATTATGTGTAGAAATTTAATTTCTTCTGGTAACAGTGTTCATTAGTGTGTTGTTTTTGCATTGATGTAATATGTAAACTATATAAAGCCCTATTGAATAAGATGGGAATCTTGTTTACCTAGTGAGTTTTTCATTGATTGTATTCCCTGCATAATTAGCAATGAAGTTTATGAATAAAATCTATGATGCTAAAGTTCTTGATTTGTTTGAGTTTTGTATTTGATGATCAATAATGAAAGGTCTTAAAGTGGGATTTTGTGATGAGTGATGGGGATCTTTTTCCTTCTTGGAATATAGTCAACGAAAAGGATTTTTATTCCAGGGTGTTTGATCCGACACCCCACCCAAAAAATGAAAAATGAAAAACCCAAAAAAGCTTTATTGCTCATCTTTGGGTAAATAGCACATAACATTCATATCTTTCAATGTCATTGTGCAAAACGTCTCTACCTTTCATTTTTTGACATTTTCATCCATACCTTCCATCTTTCATTGTGCAAAAGGTCATTTTAACCATTTTTTTAATAAAAGACGATTTTACCCTCTTATTCAAAAAAAAAAAAAAAGAATAAACAACTGCAACCATAGTCCTTAAGTTTTTAAGAAATTATAAATTCTCCATCACCACCACTTTCACAACCTACCAAGTTGCCACATATAGATCCACATAGTACCACCTTTTGGCCACTACGCCCACCAGACTCCACCACCACCAACCTTGTTTCACTCTCCTACCGTCCTCCCCCACACGAATTTGAAGATTGGAGCACTTAGAACCCACCAATTTTGGTCAGACAACACTCTCCGTGCATCACGCTCGTGAAGAGTTTTGGACCAGAAATTGAAATGGTTGGGGGGGATAATTGGTTCGATTATATTCATACCCATTGTCGTTTGAGTTTGTTGATGGTTCGATTGATGTCAATTTGGGGATTTAATGTTGTGGGATGCATGAATTGAAGGAGAAGAGTTTGGCAAAATGAACGTCGCCACTGTCGAATGTATAGATTATAGTAGAATGATTTGAGGCATGTTTGATTAATGTGAGGCCATGTATAGGTTCGTTGAGGTGGGGGATAATCGTCGGTGGTGGTGCGCGATCGTGGGTGGTGCTGAAAGTAGGGTTTGTCGTGAAGGGTTGTATACGACAGTTTGGTATTTTAGGCTGTAAATGTGGCTGTTTTCGACAGATTTTGTCACAATATTGTGGAAGAGGATGTTGGGGAGAGTGAAGCGAGGCTAGTGGCTGTGGAGTTCAACGAGCGTAGTGGCCAGAAGGTGGTGCTATGTGGATCTATAGGTGGCGGCTTGGTGGGGTTGTGAAAGGGGTAGGGGTGGAGAATTTATGACTTATCTGTAATATTTTGAAAAATTTAGAACTACGATTGCAATTAGTTTATTTTTTTTTTCTTTTCTTTTCGTTTCAGTTGAATAGAAGGGTAAAATTGTCATTTTATTGGAAAAATGGTTGAAAAATATCTTTTGCGCAATGAAATGTGGAAGATATGAGTGAAAATACTAAAAAAATGAAAGGTATGGACATTTTGCACAATAAGGATATTCTATGATATTTACCCCTTATCTTTGTAAGGAAAATTATGTTAATTCTAAGACATAATATGTACGCTTTATTTTGTTCCCAATATGTTTTGGAAACCATTCTTAGAAAGCCACAACAAGATTCACTGTCCATTAAGCCCTTGTTTGGTGCCCACTGTTTTAAAATTCCTTTTTCTATATGATTATTTTCAACTAGACATTTACACAGTATAATATTTTGCATGAAACCCAAAACATTTCCGTACTTTTTAATCATACATTTTCTTAAAAATACTATTAAAAGCTCCCCCCCCCCCCCCCCCCCCC